GTCCAGTCTACCAGTAAGCTCATCAAACACATTTTTCATTTCCATCCCAGTGTTTTTGATCTCTGGTGTTTCCTTTTGGTTTTTTCTTAGAATGTGCATCTCTGTGCTTACATTGCCCATCTGTTCTTGCATGCTGTCTGTGTTATCCATAGAGCCCCCAGCATATTAATCATTTGTTTCCAATTCCCAGTCTGATAATTCCAACATCCCTGCCATAGCTATGTCTGGTTCTGATGCTTGCTCTGTCTCTTCACATTTGTGGGTTTTTAGTTTTAGTATGCCTTGTGACTTTTTCTTGACAGCTGGCCATGATGTATTGGGTAAAAGGAACTGCTGTAAATTAGCTTTTAGTAATGTGGTGGTAAGGGGCTAGGGGAGGAGTCCTATGATTAAGTCTCAGTCTTACCTCCCTCCCACCCCTCAGGTGGGATAGGAAGGCTAGAGTGGGCTGGAGTTCGATATTTCCTTTCTCTCATGTGGAAGGCTAGAGGAGAGTAGAGTTGAGTCTTTCCCTTCCCCCAAGTAGGTTAGGCTCTGATAAAACCCCAGCAGGTTTTTAAACTACTTAAGGCTACTTAAGGCTCCGCTTTAGTTTCTTTTGAGGCAGGCCTTGTTAAGAACAGAGTGCCCTGGTGCATTTCAAAATAGTTCTTTCTTTCTTCCCCTTGCCTGAAGCATAAGGGGAATTTACTGCAGCATTTATTGTAAGAATCAAGTGTAACTCCTGGGAGTAAAACTCACAGAAGTGTGCTCCCTTCCCCCGTGACTCGGTTCCCCTGGACTTTTTGACTCTCAGACTTGTTGACACTGAGCCTCCAGTAATTGATCAGTTCCAGTTCCAGTTTTCCTACCCTGATACTGGTTCCTTCAGAGGTTTCTGCCTGCATTTCAGCCCAGGAAAGTTGTGATTCTTTGTATCTGCTTGTCTGTCTGTAATTTGGGGGACAGTGGTTTGCCTGTGACTTCGTTTCTCTTACAGATCTAAGAAGAGTTGACTTTTCAGTTTGTTCTACTTTTTCCTTGTGATGGAGAGGCAACCTCCAACCTTCTTATATGCTAGACTGGAAACCAGAAACTTCCCTGACCTTTTTATGGATGGAAATCTTTCTTTTCATGGTTCCTTCTGATCTTTGGATAGGGAAGAGAGATCAGAGAGGAGCAATAAGGGAGGTCACGTGTTGCTGCTGCAGGCTGAGAACAGCCTTGAGGAGTGCAGTGTCCAATCCCAGACCCTTAGGCTAAAAGTGCCTATCAGCTTGGAGAAGGAGCACCATGGAGATAGGTGGTCCTAAGATCCCTCAGGGCAGATTTTAAGCACAGCTTTTAAAAGAAATCCTGCCTTAATATGTTTCTTTGTTATTGTTATCAGAAAGAAGGCACACGTTCAGACTTTTAATAAGGTGAATGGCAGGTGAATCAAAACTGGAATTCTTTGATTTAATTATCTCCTTATGCCAATATTTAAGCTAAGATTGGTGTTAACTTTCCTCCATATAGAGGTTTCCAGAATATATAAAATATGCCTTAAAATAATGCTTATTAAAGAATCCATGAGACTGGGTGCAGTGGCAGACGCCTGTAATCCCAGCACTTTGGGAGGCTGAAGCAGGAGGACCGCTTGAGCCCAGGTTCAAGACCAGCCTGGGCAACATAGTGAGACCTCTCTCTACAAAAATTAAAAATAAAAAATTAGCCAGGCATAGTGGCGCATGTTGCAGGAAGTCAGGGACCGCGAACGGAGGGACCAGCTGAAGCCGCGGCAGAAGAACATATATTGTGAAGATTTCATGGACATTTATTAGTTCCCCAAATTAATACTTTTATAATTTCTTATGCCTATCTTTTCTACAGTCTCTGAACATAAATCGTGAAGATTTCGTGGACACTTATCACTTCCCCAGTCAATACACTTGTGATTTCCTATGCCTGTCTTTACTTTAATCTCTTAATCTCGTCATCTTCTTCATAAGCTGAGGAACATGAATGTCGCCTCAGGACCCTGTGATGATTGTGTCAGCTGCACAAATTGTTTGTAGAACGTGTGTTTGAACAATATGAAATCTGAGCATCTTGAAAAAAGAACAGGATAACAGCAATGTTCAGGGAACATCAGAGATAAGACTTCTGGCTGCTGGTGAGCTGGATGGAACAGAGCCATATTTCTCCTCTTTCAAAAGCAAATAGGGGAAATATCACTGAATTCTTCGTCTCAACAAGGAACATCCCTGAGAAAGAGAATGCGTCCTGAGGGCAGGCCTATAAACAGCCCCCTTAGAAGCGTGCAGTCTTTTATGGTCGAAGCCGAAGGGATGAAATAAGCCCCGGTCTCCTGTAATGCTCCCAGGCTCATTAGGATGAGGAAAATTCCCACCTAGTAAATTTTGGTCAGACAGGTTGTCTGCTCTCAAACCCTGTTTCCTGATTAGATGTTACCAATGACAATGCATGCCCGAAACTTCATTAGCAATTTTCATTTTGCCCCATCCTGTGGTCCTGTGATCTCGCCCTGCCTCCACTTGCTTTGTGATATTTTATTACCTTGTGAAGTATGTGATCTCTGTGACCCACACCCTATTCATGCACTCCCTCCCCTTTTGAAAATCGCTAATAAAAACTTGCTGGTTTTACAGCTCGGGGAACATCACGGATCCTGCCGACATGTGATGTCTCCCCCGGACACCCAGCTTTAAATTTCTCTCTCTTGTGCTCTTTCCCTTTATTTATCAAACCAGCTGAGACACTTAGGAAATAGAAAAGAACCCATGTAATCATTAGGAGCGGGTTCTCCCAGTAGGCACACACCTGTAGTCCTAGCTACTTGGGAAGTTGAGGTGGGAGGATCCCTTGAGCCCAGGAGTTTGAGGTTACAGTAAGCTATGATTGTGCCATTGCAGTCTAGACTGGATGATAGAGTGAGACCCTGTCTCTAAAAAAAAAAAAAAATTGTTAATAAAGAATTCATACTGACACTAACAAAAATAAACTTTAAAATGGTGGAGGTGAGTGGGGAAAAGTGAAACCTCTGCTTTACAGAATACCAATGAATAAATGTAGGAAGAATTTCTTAATCAGCCTTCAATAACCACTAGAATAATAACTGATTCAGGCAGCGATGATCAATAGATTATAAAACCTTTGGATGAAAGATTGTTGGAGAAAAGGATATTCATATATCTCAAAATATCATTAATAAAATAGCAGGTTATTTATTAATTACAAAGGGAAAAGGTATAGTGAAGAAATCTGATGGGTACCCTTTTCAACCAGATAATCAAATTTGGCATCCCCAGTTATGTGAAATAGATATCACATCCCTCCTGATGTGATGCACTGGGAAGGATCCATCACCTACATATCCGTGGAATATTCCTGGTATCAACGAAAAGAGTCAAACTCTGTAAAATATTTGAAGAGATTTATTCTGAGTCAAATGTGAGTGACCATGGCCCGTGACACAGCCCTCAGAAGGTCCTGAGAACATGTGCCCAGGGTGGTCAGGGTACAGCTTGGTTTTATATATTTTAGGGAGGCATGAGACATCAATCAAATACATTTAAGAAATGCATTTATTGGTTTGGTTCAGAAAGGTGGGACAACTCAAAGGAGGGTCTTCCAGGCTACAGGTAAGTTTAAACATTTTCTGGTTGATAATTGGTTGAGTTTATCTGAAGACCTGGGATTAATGGAAAGGAATGTTCAGGTTAAGATAAAGGATTGTGGGACCAAGTTTTATTGTGCAGAGGAAGCTCTCAGACTTCACAGAGAGAGCAGGTTGTAAAATGTTTCTTATCAGACCTAAAAGGGTGCCTGGCTTTTAGTTGATTATCTCATGGATCTGTAAAGGAAGGAAAACAAAGGGGGAAGGGGATTTTGTATAGAATGTGGATTTTTCTCACAAGAGACTTCACAGGGCAATTTCAAGGTGTGGCAAGGAAGTATATTTTGGGGTTAAATATTTTTTCCGTGTCTCATAGTGTTGTGCTGGAGTCATATTGAAAAGCAAGTCACAATATACAGGGTCAAATAAAACCCATCTGATGAGAATCCATGGTTTGTAGGGCATGAATCCCCAGACCCCTTAGGTAGGAATTTGGGCAAGATAAAAAAAATCAGAGCTTAGTCCTCATTGGCAATGATGTTTGGAGGAAATAGCAAAGTCCAAATTGAAAGACATTATGCAAAACAGCATAAGTGCCCCCTCCACCCACACTCTATTCCTGTAGGAAAGGATACTTGATACTTCAAAAATGTCCATGTCATAAAAGACAAAAAAGGAAAGAGACAAAAAGAAACATTGTTGGGAAAATTAGGGAGATTTAGGGACTGTATATGTTATATAATAGTAATATATTTCTTGAGTGTAATAATTGTATTCTAGTTATATAGGAGGATGTTTTGTTCTTAGAAGATAGAATCTTTGGCCCGGTGTAGTGGCTCACGCCTGTAATCCCAGCATTTTGGGAGGCCGAGGCAGATGGATCACGAGGTCAGGAGATTGAGACTATCCTGGCTAACACGGTGAAACCTCATCTCTACTAAAAAAAAAAAAAATTAGCTGGGCATGGTGGCGGATGGGTGCCTGTAGTCCTAGCTACTCGGGAGGCTGAGGCAGGAGAATGGCATGAACCTGGGAGACGGAGCTTGCAGTGAGCCGAGATTGTGCAACTGCACTCCAACCTGGGTGACAGAGCGAGACTCCATCTCAAAAAAAAAAAAAAGAGAATCTTAAATCTTTAGGGATGAAGTGTCATGATGTCTGCAACTAATTCTCAGATGGTTCAGGAAAAAATGTCTGTGTCTGTGGAGGAGGAGGAAGAAGGGAAATATGACAAAATATTAACAATTGGTTATCTAGATAAAGAGTATATAATAGTTGGTCGTTGTACTTTTCTTGTGACTTTTAGGAAGATTTAAAATTTTTCCAAAGAAAGTTGAAGACAAATTTTAATTACAATAAAATTTAAAAATGAAATAACATTTATTCTGTCTTATTGCTTTAGGTGAAATCCTTAACCCTGTTTGTCACCCATTATCCGCCAGTTTGTGAGCTAGAAAAAAATTACTCACACCAGGTGGGGAATTACCACATGGGATTCTTGGTCAGCGAGGATGAAAGCAAACTGGATCCAGGTATAAAATATTCCTACAGTTGGTACAAATATTGGTTTTCATGTTTGATACCTCAAAGTTTGTTGGAACATTAACTTACTGCTTATTAATAATGAAAGCTGTGAATGTGAGCTATAAATAACATTTGTCAGGATTCATTTTTGCTAAGCTTTAGGTCAAGTAGAATTTACATTTATCCATGCTATCTCTGAGTCCTTCTCTGGTCTTCCTTGTCTCATTTGTCGTGGCAGCCCTTTTCTCTTTTTTTTACAGGAATAGGGTGTGGGTGGAGGGGGCACTTAGGTTTTCCTCTTAGTGCCTTGTACTCTTACATGATTCATCTCAGTATAGATGACAGTCAACTGCAGAATGTAATTAGTCATCTTTTAAAAATGCCCAATATTTTCCCCAAAATATCATTTAACTTACTAAGGGCCATATACTGTACTGGACATAGGTTTTTCTTTTAATATTATAAGGAAACTGAATCTCAGACAGGTAAAGTGGTTTGACCATGTCAACCACTTAGATGGGGGCTAAAATGAGCCTAGAATTCACTTCTGCTTCTGGGTACTCTTCTGTGCCCCTCTGCTAGAGCTGCTATGAAGGAAATCTACAATATTTTTCCTAGTCTTTCCAGTTACTGGTGTCACAGAAATGAGACATTTTATGAAAAAGAACACCGTTAGCCAATAGCAATAAATTTAAGTGCCATAAGTAACATAGTAGACTTTAGCATTTTTTTTTTCTGTTCAGTAGTAATTGTTTTAAGCTACCAGCCTGTAGAACTGTGGTGGTTTGCGCAATTGGTATGCTACAATGGAAAATCCATCATGCAAGATATCCCAGAGTCCAAATTTTATTTTGGAAAAGTAATAGGGATGGACCTGAAAAAGAAATCAGGCAACTGGCCCAAATGAAACAAAGCACTGGCCCTAAGATAAATGTAATGTTAGGCAGTTCCTGCTTTTCACCACCATGCAGTCTTGAAAAACACATCATAAATTCTGTCATGGAGGTAGTTTTGTATCTATTAATCTGCATCCAGGGTGACTAGAGGAGACTTAAGCTAAAACCCTTGGGACAAAGAGAATAGAGTTCACCAATAGGGAAGAGGAGGAGTCAGTGCCACTAATAAGCATTTGATGTGAACTGAAAACTAACCCAGAGCATTATACCTTTCCCTTAAATGTTCTGGGCATTTTATTTTATTGATTTTAATTTTTGTGTTTTGTTGAGATGGGGCATCACTGTCATCCAGGCTGGAGTGCGGTGGCACGATCACAGCTCACTGCAGCCACAACCTCCCAGGCCCAGGTGATGCTCCCATGTCAGCCTCCCCAGTAGCTGGGACTACAGGCGCACACCACCATGCCTGGCTGATCTTTGTATGTTGTGTAGAGACAGGCTCTCACTATGTTGCCCAGGGTAGTCTCAAACTCTTGAACTCAAGTGATCCTCCTGCCTTGACCTCCCAAAGCTAGGCTTACAGGGATGCGCTACCTTGCCTGGCTGATTTTAATTTTTATCAGTGAACATAATTTTTATAATTCAGTGGTGCTAAAAGGCTCCAGCTGACAAGCTTCCATCCCTCCAGTCCTTGTCCTTCCCCATCCTAGTCCCAAGGCAACTACTTTCAACACTTTTCCCCATTTCTGTTGTATTTCTAAGTAATATGCATATTTTCCTGTCCCTTGATTCGTCAAGTTGACTATTGTCATTGTGTTAATTGAGAATCTTCAGTTTTCCCTTCCTCTGTCCTTCCAATGTAGTCATTTCGTATTTATTGCATGTCATTCATATTTGTTATTTTCATTATTATTGCCATGCTAAGTATTGCTTACTGATGAGCCAAGTATGAGACAAGTACATTTCTTTTACAATGATTTCTGTTTTCTCAAAAATAAGAATTGACTGTCCTTAATTTTTCATTTTGTTTTGTTTTGTTTTTGAGTCTATAGCTGAATCTTCCTGTACCCTCCAATAGCTTCGTAAAATGCCTCTGTAGATGTTTTTCCACACAACTGAACCTACTGGTTCCCATTTGTCCCACTGGGGCTCTTCCTCCTGGAGCCCTTTGTCCTCCTGCTCATCTGAACTGGCTGCTATCTGGGCCTGCTGCATAGCTGTCATCCCGAGCCTGCCTTGCCGGCATCCTAGGAGTTCCCTTACCCCTCTTCTAAGCATGTGATTTCAAGGAACGAAACGCTCGGTCTCACACTGGCTCAGACAAAAGGATGCAGTTATGTATAATCCCATGTTCCATGAACTCCAGAGGAAGAGTGGGCTTCAGCGCCTCCTTTTTGCAATTCCCAGGCTCTGTCTTCCTGCCTGGCCGGTTTTATCACCAGGCTAGTGATAATGACTGCAGCCCTTCCTGGCATCATGTCCAGAATGTCCAAAGGAAGAAAAGAGACAAGCATTTCCCGTTAACTCTTTCTTAGAACAAGGGAACTTTTTCTCAGATGTCTTCCAGTATCTCACAATTGCCTCATCGCATTTTCGGAATTGAGTAACAGGCTCCTTCCTAAACCACTCCTTAGCAGAGGATGGCAGGGGCGACTTTGATGGGCCTAGGTGAATCAGGATCCACTTCTGGAGCTGGCTTTGAAGACCCAGTCCCCTGAGTTAAATGATTAGGAAGTTAATTCCTTATAAAATCAAGGTTTTCTTAGGGGTGGGATAAATGTTGAATTAGGCTACTACTAATATCAACTAAAGGAGGTAAAAGTTTTGAGATTTTTCATGAATGAAAATGTTTCACATGCTTGTTAGCCAGGTGTATGTTGTCTTTTGAAAAGTATCTGTACATATCTTTTGCCTACTTTTTAATGGGTTTGGTTTTTTATTATAAATGTATGTAAGTTCCTTGTAGGTGCTGAATATTAGATCTTTGTCAGATGCATAGTTTGCAAACATTTTCTCCCATTCTATACGTTGCCTGTTTACCCTGTTCATATTTTCTTATAAATGTATGTAAGTTCCTTGTAGATGCTGGATATTAGATCTTTGTCAGATGCATAGTTTGCAAACATTTTCTCCCATTCTGTACGTTGCCTGTTTACCCTGTTCATAGTTTCTTTTGCTATGCAAAAGCTCTATAGTTTAATTAGGTCCCATGTGTCAGTTTTTGCTTTTGTTGCAATTGCTTTTGGCCTCTTAGTCATGAAATCTTTGCCCATTCCTGTGTCCAGAATTGTAAAAGCAAAATATCACTGATTATTAGAGAAATGCAAATCAAAACCACAATGAGATACCTTCTCACACCAGTCAGATTAGCTATTACTAAAAAGTCAAAAAATAACAGGTGCTGGTGAGGTTGTGGAGAAAAAGGAATGCTTATACACTGGGTAAGAGTGTAAATTAGTTCAACCATTGTGGAAGACAATGTGTTGATTCTTCAAAGACCTAAAAACAGAATTACCATTCAACCCAGCAATCCTATTACTGTAATAGCAATCCTATTACAATTTATATACCCAGAGAAATATAAATTGTTGTGTCATAAAGACACATGCCCACGTATGTTCATCGCAGCACTATTTACAGTAGTAAGACATGGAATCAACCTAAATGCCCATCAACGGTAGACTGGTTAAAGAAAATGTGGTACAAATACACCATGGAATACTATCCAGCCATAAAAAAGAATAAGATGATATCCTTTGCAGGAATATGGATGAAGCTGGAGGTCATTTTCCTTAGCAAACTAATGCAGGAACAGAAAACCAAGTATTGCATGTTTTCACTTATAAGTGGGAGCTAAATGATGAAAACACATGGAAACATAGAGGGGAACAACACACACTGGGGCCTACTAGACAGGGGAGGGTGGGAGGAGGGAGAGGATCAGGAAAAATAACTGATCTATACAAGGCTTAATAACTGGGGGATTAAATAATCAGTACAGCAAACCTCTGTGACACAAGTTTACCTCTATAACAAACCTGCACATGTACCCCTGAACTTAAAAGTTTAAAAAATATATGTAGCTTCTATGTTCAAATTTATAGTTCAGCAAGGATTAGAATTTTAGATTGAAAACCATCTCACTCAGAATTTTGAAGCAGTGCTCCACTGCCTGCTGCCTTCCAGTATTGTTCCTGGCTATATCTGTGCTTCATCCATTACCTCTCCCCCAACTTCTCCTCTTCTGTATGAGGTAGAGGCCATTGCATAGGTCATCAGTAAAATGCCCCACAGGTCTTTTGGATGGCTTTTAAAATACTCTATTTCCCATGATGTGATAGGTAAAACAATGGACAAATAGTTAAGAAACCTGTATTTTAGTATATTCCAATCTGTATGATCTTGGACAAGTCACCTAACTTCACTCACCCCTAAATTTTTATGAATCTGTTCTAAAAGCAACTTCAGAAATTATTTGTCAGCACATATCTCCTGAATAACTGCTTAGAGAAGTTTAGCTTAAATATAAATCTTGCTAAGTTTCCCTATAATAAACAGAAACATGAATTATTACTTCCACTGACTCAAAGCAGTGCCAGGTAAACATTTTAATAATGTCCATTTAAGAAGTGGCCATAGCTTGTAAGTAGTTACTTCCTCATCAAGAACTTTTGCTGTGAACCTGTAAAGAAACAGAGTTTTACTCATAAAACAAGTTTTATTCTCTCCCATGTGGCTTTTTCTGACTCCATATTTCCATCCTGCCAGCACCCCAAACCCCTCTCCTGCACAGAGGGTAAAGGAGTACATAATTACAAAAAGAGATCCTCCAGGTGATTATGGAAGAGTGGTCACATTCTTTACCTTGAAGGTGTGAAAACTACCATAATGTAAAGTGGAGACCAGCATATAATGACACACTCAGCAACTATTTGTATGTTAACAAGGTATTCAGAGCAGTGAAATATTTTATGTAAGTTAGCTATATTTTGTAGCTATATTATACGTTATATAAGAACATTGTTATAACTATCTCTCGTGCACTCTATATATGTCTACATATATATATATACACACACACACACTATTTGTATAAAACAAAAAAAAATTAAAAGTCATCAATAGGCCAGGCATGGTGGCTCACGCCTGTAATCTCAGCACTTTGGGAGGCCAAAGTGTGGTCAGATCACCCAAGGTCGGGAGTTCGAGACCAGCCTGGTTAACCTGGAGAAACCCTGACTCTACTAAAAACTAAAAATACCAAAAAAAAAAAAAAAAATAGCTGGGCTTGTTAGTGGGAGTCTGTAATCCCAGCTACTCAGGAGGCTGAGGCAGGAGAATCACTTGAACCCGGGAGGCGGAGGTTGCGGTGAGCCGAGATCATGCCATTGCACTCCGTCCTGAGCAACAAGAGCGAAACTTAGTCTCAAAAAAAAAAAAAAAATTCATTAACAAATTTTTAGGTAGGGGGATTTTATGGCATTTATTAGGCTCCCAGAAAATACTGATGGTTAGCTGGATGGATAGATGGACAGAGAGACAGATGAATGAATCTTGTTTAGAAAGGTCAGCATGGAGTCTAGATTATATTGGAGAACTGGAGACGGGGAGATCAGTTAGGACTAACACAGTTGAAGTGATAAACTATTTTTCTGTCTTAAAGATAAGAAATGGCTTTTTTGATTGTCTATTGCTTTTTACTTCAGTCTTAGTCTTGTGAACTTTGAAAAGTAACAAAAAGTTATCCAGGTTTGCGGGCACTGGCTTCTAGCTGCGTCTTCCCTAATCTGTTCCCACCTACTTCCGCACCTGTGTTCCTCAACTTTCATTTGGGGGCAAAAGGTACTCTCAGTGCCTTGTAACGGAAATTTGGGTCTGTGTTTCTGAGTGAGTTGGTGTTCTCTCCACCTCCTACTTCAGCACCCACCCTTAGAAAGCTCTTATCTGTCTGCTGCCGAATTCTTAGAGGAGGGCCAGGAAAAATCCATTGTCCTTTTTCTCTGTTGTGTTCAGTCTTTGGCTTTTTAAATTTTCACTGATAAAAGAAGAAAAGCATACACATCTATCAAATGAAATAATGATTGAGAAAAAGCTCTTAATAAACTCATAAGTATACTGGGATTGTAGAAATCTTTGTAACTCTGGCCCACCTTGGACATTTTTGCAGCACAATGCACATTTTGCAGCACAATTATATTGAATTTCATAATAAAAGTTACATAATATCCTGAGCTGCTTTAGCTTAAACTACATGCAGTGGTTTATTATAATTATTGTACTTCATTATATCCCAGTTCTTTCGAAGTTTTAAGTTCATGTGTATGTATATATGACAGGCTGGGTCCTCTAGGAAGCAGATTCTGAGATTTGCATTCAGGAGGTTCACTGGGAGTGCTGGGCTGTGTTATAGTCAAAAGGCTTCAGCCAGCCCTGCAGAGAACTCTGAGGCTAGAATCGTCCTTCAGAGTTACCTCAACTTGGGGTGAGGAGGATAGACCTCTATACCTTTATTAGTTATCTTTATTAATTTGGGGTAATTTGCAAACAGTGTGCAACAGATTACCCCCCAAAGCATAGTGGCTTAGAACAACATTTATTACCTCATAGTTTCTGTGAGTCAGGAGTCCAGGGGCAACTTAACCACACCTCTAAGGCTGAACACCGTAGCCCTATGAGAGATCCTCTAGTTCGGTTCCTCATAGGGCTACAGTCAGTCACTGATCAGGGCAACAGCCATGTCAAGGCTTCCCAGCTCACATGTGGCTCTTGCCAAGCCTCCCAATATCTGCTTCCAAGCCCACTCATGCTGCTGTTGGCATGCCTCAGGCTCTCGCCGACTGTTGGTGGGAGACATCAGTTTTTTCCATGTGAGCAGCTCCATAGACAGCCCACAACATGGCGGCTGGCTTCCCTCGGAGCAGGCAGGCAACAAAGTGAGCGTACCCAAGTCAGAAGCCACAATCTTTCTGTAACCTAATCTCTGAAGTGATATCTCATCACTTTTGCCGTATTCTGTTCATTAAAAGTGAGTCACTGGTTGGGAATGACACAAGCACGTGAACACCAGCAGGCAGAGGTCTTTGGTGGCCATCTTCGAGGCTACCTACAACAACCAGTCACTGGCTGCAGGCTGCCCCAAAGCGAGGTGTGGTCTTGAGTGAAGCCCCCCCTTCAGCTGCAACAATTTCCAAAGAAGGCAAACAGTCGAGGGTTGCAGGCCAACAATCTGTCTGACAGCTGAGGGAATAAACTCTTTAGTCTTAAGAGGGATCTGGGTGGTACTGAACAGAATCCAGTATGTATAGCTCTTAGTTAAACTGAATATTTAATAAACCAGAACATCTCAATCCTGTTATTTAAACTGACCAACATGTAATATTTTCTTACCTGTTTTTAAGGGAGAAATTATAGGCCTGGCACTGTGGTTCATGCCTATAATCCCAGCACTTTGGGAGGCCGAGGTGGGCGGACCACTTGTGCCCAGAAGTTCGAGAGCAGCCTGGGCAACATGGCAAAACCCCATCTCTTAAAGAAAAAAAAAAAAAATTAGCTAGGCATGGTAGTATGCACCTGTAGTTTCAGCTACTCTGGAGGCTGAAATGGGATAATCACCTTGAACCTGGAAGGTTGAGACTGCCAGTGAGCTGAGATTGTGCCACTGAACTCCAGCTTGGGCAAGCAAGTTAGACCCTGTCTCAGAAACATAAAAAGGAGAAATTATATTGTATCAACCACATACTAAGATCATTCTCATCCCAGCGCAGTGGCTCACACCTGTAATCCCAACACTTTGAGAGGCCAAGGAGGGAGGATTGTTTAAAGCCAAGGAGTTCAAGACCAGCCTGAGCAACATAGCAAGACCCGATCTCTACAAAAAATATTAAAAAATTAGCTGAGTGTGGTGGCATGAACCTGTAGTCCTAGCTACTTAGGAGGCTAGGCAGGAGGATTGCTTGAGCCCAGGAGTTTGATGTTACAGTAAGGTATGATCACGCCACTGCACTCCAGCCTAGGTGATAGAGCGAGACCCTATCTCTAAAAAAGTAAATAAATAAAATCATTCTCTTTTTAATATAGATGTTCAGTTCAAATTTGCAATGAATCATTTTTGAAAACTATTTTAAGTGAGCTAAAAGATCCTATATGCACACAGCAGTTTCAAAACAGTATTTACCTTTTTCTTGACATATCAAATTAATAAATGGATCTAACAGGCAAGTAGGAATAGTGATTTCAGATTGTATGATTTAATAAAGTTATGAGAATGTACATGTCCTTTTTAATCCTATAATTTATTTCAGCATTCGGGCACGGATTTGATCTCCTTTCTTTATTTCACAGGCGAAGAACAAGTCCCTGATTTTGTCACCTTCCTTTACCAAATAACTAGAGGAATTGCAGCAAGGAGTTATGGATTAAATGTGGCTAAACTAGCAGATATTCCTGGAGAAATTTTGAAGAAAGCAGCTCACAAGTCAAAAGAGCTGGAAGGATTAATAAATACGAAAAGGTCAGAATGATTATGCTACATTTTTTTCATTTGTAATGAAACCTAAGTTGTCCAAGAAAGAGGAGTGTCCTAAAAATGAACATCAGATCTCCTTTTAAGCGCCTCTTCAAATATTCTGAACCATTTAATTATGATGAAGTGAAAACAGCTCTTGCAAAGCTCAGGTGAATTCAGTGCATCTTCATTAGATCATTAAGTTGCTGAATTGGTTTTTCAGTCATTTTTATAAAGAATTAAGTTAATTCCTTAATATGTGCCACATTGGTTACTTTAAAGATTCAATTATGCGAAAGGTTACTGAAGATATTGAGAACCTACAGAAAATTTATTTTATTCATAGATTTTATTCAGATATGCAACAATTACATCCAGAAATTCTATCAGAATATTAATGAAATAGTACTACATAACAGGCAATCATAGTCAGTATCCACATGTCACTTATTTTGTAGACTGTGACAAATTTTTCATTCTAAACAGGCTTCTGTCACTTTAAATGCTTATGGGAATACTTTCCACCTTTACCCTTGCTATCCAGCTAGTATGTAGTCAGTACATAAATTAATCTTAATGTAAACCTGAGATACACTTTGAAAGAAAGATATTCCTAGGGAAATATCATATTCGTAAATTACACCCTTTTGTTTCCCAAATATAAAATTCTGAAACAACATAAGCTCCCCATCCACCTACTGCCCTACCCCTGCCATACTTGGGGAGCCTGATGTGCTGGGTACATTAGTACCCTGGTTGATAACCATATGACCATGATGAACAGATTGTTGATCGAACAGAAAATCTTGGCTGGCTACTGGTGGTTCCTATGTTATACTCCAAGAATATTCTTTAATATTTGGTAATAATTCTGGGAATTATTACCAAATTTCAATATTGAAATAGTAATGCCTATCATACTAGCTAAAGAAACAGTTCCTAACTTGTTTACAGTAGTGCAATTAACTTCTCTTTCTCTACCTCCTTCTCCTGTGCTTCCGCCTTGCACTCCTCCACTTTGGTGTACTATAGTTGACCAAGTCCAGAGTGCTGGGCTCTACAAATGGCACACAGCCTCCTCTAGTGACACTCTTTTCTGGCTCATTTCCAAATCACAATGCCAAAACAGAAGCAAAGTGGCATAATCAGTTTCAGCCTATTTCTGTTACAAGCCAGATTAATATAAAATTTTTCCTGAGGGAAAATTATCTATGAGAATTAAAAAATAAAGTTAGCCCTCTTCCTCTGCAAAGTCCAGAGACAAATTAAACTCTCTTTAGTTGCCATATTATTATTGTTCTTTTTCTCTGAAAAAAAACCTAGAATAAAGCTTTACTACAAAGGATATATATATACAAGATAGCAATAAACTATGTCAATTTCTAAATTTGCTATAGAAATATATGCAAGCTAGCAATAAAATATGGCAATTTCTATATTTTCATATATTCTTGTTTCTGCTATATAGCCTACAAAGCAAGAGCAAAAACATTCACAGATTACTCATAACTCTTCCAACTAGTAAGTGACATTTTGAAATCTATGAAGTTACCTCGACAAGATGAGAGAATTATTAGAAGATGTTGCTTTGGGATAGAATCTGATCATTTATCAAGATACTGTATTTGTTGTTTTACCTTTTTTCTAAAAGTGCTTATCACATCAATTCCTTTGGCCAGATCAAAGAAATCAAACTGAATCTTGGGCCTTAGTGTGTATTTGTTATAATAGTTGCTATTTATTGGATGGTTACTGTGTGTAGAAACCATTCTGAGCAGTCATTTGCAGCAGCCTAGACACTGTGCCAGCTACTCTTCTCATCGCTTTACATACATTATCTCATTTCATCCTTATGGCAGCCTTATCCTCATGGTCTAGTTGGGGAAAGTGAGGCCAGCAAGGACAGGACACTGACCCAGAGTCACACAGCTCGTTGATGGTGGAGCAGTAATTGGAACTCAGATACTCTAGCTCCATACCCTAAATACTCAATTGGGTTGCTATTCTGCAGGGAAAAAAAAGTAAGTCTGTGTTATGCTGGCGTTTTACTCTTTAATTAGCTTCATTGTCTTCGGTTGGTGTTACTTTTCATCCTGGGAACACTTCACAGGAGTTTCTTGTCTCCAGGTGCAAATAAGCACACACCACCAGCCTCTAGCAGAGTTTGAAGGAGGAGGAGGTCAGGTTCTCCCCTCTGGGGCTGACAGGGGTAAGGATTTTAGGAGAAAGCACAAAGGCAATAGTGGCAATTGGTAACCTGGGTCCTTTGATTATAGCAGCAGCTCTGAAAGCTCCTTTCACCAGAAGGGTGACACTGACACAGCTTCCTAACTATAGAGCCTGCCCAGTATTCAAATATTGCAGACTTTTCATAGCTTCTGATGAGATGTATTGTCTCCCAGCAATTTCATTTATTAAATAGTATTTTATTTTTCCCCAGGAAGAGACTCAAGTATTTTGCAAAGTTATGGACGATGCATAATGCACAAGACCTGCAGAAGTGGACAGAGGAGTTCGAAATGGAAGAAACACAGACTTCTCTTCCTCATTAAAATAAAGACTTACATTTGTGAACAAAAAATGGAGAATTAAAAATACCAACTGTACAAAATAACTCTCCAGTAACAGCCTATGTTTGTGTGACATGTGAGCATAAAATTATGACCATGGTATATTCCTACTGGAAACAGAGAGGTTTTTCTGAAGACAGTCTTTTTCAGGTTCCTGTCTTCCTAACTTTTCTAAGTATAAACACTCTTGAATAGACTTCCACTTTGTAATTAGAAAATTTCATGGACAGTAAGTCCAGTAAAGCCTTAAGTGGCAGAATATAATTCCCAAGCTTTTGGAGGGTGATATAAAAATTTACTTCATATTTTTATTTGTTTCAGTTCAGATAATTGGCAGCTGGGTGAATCTGGCAGGAATCTCTCCATTTGAACTAAAATAATTTTATTAGGCAGCCAGTTTATCCACCAAGAACATAAGAATTTTTTATAAGAAATAGAAAGAATTGGCCAGGCATGGTGGCTCACGCCTGTAATCCCAGCACTTTGGGAGGCCAAGGCGGGCAGATCACCTGAGGTCATGAGTTCAAGACCAGCCTGGCCAACATGGCAAAACCCCATCTCTACTAAAAATATAAAGTACATCTCTACTAAAAATACAAAAACATTAGTCGGGCATGGTGGCGCACGCCTGTAGCCCCAGCTACTCGGGAGGCTGAGGCAGGAGAATCTCTTGAACCTGGGAGGTGGAGATTGCAGTAAGCTGAGATCACGTGACTGCATTCCAGCCTGGGCAATATAGTGAGATTCCATCTCAAAAAAAAAAAAAAAGAAAGAGGAAAGAAATAGAATTATCAAGCTTTTAAAAACTAGGGCATAGAAAGAATAAGGTCATGAAATTTAAAATATTAAATATTGTCACAGGATTAAGCAGTTTAAAGACTTGGATGAAATTATTTGTCATTTGTTTGAGTAATAAATATTTAATGAATACTTGCTATAGATGATGGTATGTCCCATTGAATTTTGGTGTTTTCAAGTGTTTGGAAATTGTCATTTTTTTAGGTGTAATTATGAAATTAAGGTTACTGCTTTGATCAGCGCAATACACAGAAGTGAACTTATTCATTTGGGACCTTGCTATTCATCAACATACCAAGTGTATGATCTTCCCAGTAATGAGCCTTACAGCTTAGTTGATTCATAACAGTGCTCCCTTCCTGCAAATTTAGGGTAACACGTGCTCAACTGTGTCCCTGGGTTTTTTACAGCACTTACAATCTGGCTTCCCAGATCCATGTGTTCTTTTTGTTTCTAAATATATGATCTTGCACAAAAGCTCTCCATCCTATTTTCCTCTCTTTTATTATTTCTGCTCAGTTAAATGTCTTCCCCGCATTTGATGGACATATTTTTCATTCCTTCTTCTGCATTATTACCTTCAGTGATCCCAGCAATGACCCCAGACACAGGAGTCAATACAGTGTCCCCAGGTTGTGGCTTCACTTTTGAGTCAGTCACTCTTTAGCTATCAGACTCCCAACCTTATTGGAGTTAGAGTATGATGTAGTTTGATTCTACCACCCGTCCAGAGATACTAATGTATAGTCACATTCTCAAAACTGTCAAAATAGAGTTAGTTGGAATGTATGCTTTAACTTTTAAAAAGAACAAAATTGTTTCAATACTCTATATAACTGTAAATGTCTTATATTCTTTCTAACAAGATTTCAAAGATAGTGCTGTAACCTCACCTCACAGGGAGAAAAGGAGATGACTCCAGGAATGTGATGCCCATGCCAGAGGGAGCTGCAGGGACCAGCAATCACTGGTAATGTCCAGGTGGACATCTGGAGCCACCTCTCCCTCTTGCTTGGTCCAGGCCAGCATCAACACTGAAGCAGGTAGGGGTTCCAGGAGCATTGTGTCCTGGCAGTGGCAGCACACAGTGTCTGGCAGCTGACAGTGTAGAACTTTACAGGGTAGATTCTCCAGCATGAGCAGGACGCCAGCCAGGCCGCCAGCTTGCGGAAGCGCAGGCCTCCTCTAAGCTGGGGAAGAGATCAGCACCGCTGAACAGCATTTCTAAGTGAGGCTCATCCCCAGCTGGGTTACTGAGATATTGGAGGAAATGTTGAGGCCAAATCCCAGTCATAAAGACTGCATAAATGCAATGGGGAGGTAGGCAGAAAGTTGCAAACAATTGTGTTTGTATTTCAGATGACCATCTTGGGGCTGCAATTCTAAGGTTAGATGTAACCACACAGGTGAGAATAGGGCTGCTGGTGCATGGCAAGGGCCCTTCAGATTCCCTCTGGTACTGCATAGGCATGAGCATACTTCAGATGGAGACTGGGGGAGACAGGGCTGACTGGTGGCCAAATGTCAAGGAAAGCAACTTTTGAATATGATGTATTCCTTTAAATGACTTGTCTGTTTTTAGCCATCAAATTACAAATTAAGAGCTAGTGATTCTGCAATAACACACACCAATTCCTCGAAAACCTTCTAAAGTCAGACCAGTTTAATAATTCCAACCTTAGGGGAAAAAAAGCCAAACACATTTTAACAAGTTTCAACTTTGACCTTTCTATTGCTTCATCTCTCCTCAGTGCTGTCTATTCTATGTAGTTTTTAAAATATTCTTATTATATAACTAGTATAACAATATTTGAAAATTCATGGGACTATAATTTATAATTTAAAAAGAGAAAGGAAAAATGAGTTTTCAAAATTAAATTTTATAAGTTAAAAAGAAATTTAAAGGCTGGATGTGGTTGCTCACACCTGTAATCCTAGCACTTTGGGAGGTCGAGGCGGGCAGATTGCCTGAGCTCAGGAGTTCAAGACCAGCATGGGCAACACGGTGAAACCCCGTCTCTACTAAAATACAAAAAATTAGCCAGACGTGGTGGCGGGCATCTGTAGTCCCAGCTACTCGGGAGGCTGAGGCAGGAGAATTGCTTGAACCCTGAAGACAGAGTTTGCAGTGAGCAAAGGTCATTCCACTGTGCTCCACCCTGGGTGACAGAGCAAGACTCCGTCTCCAAAAAAAAAAAATTTAAAGGAAAAAAAATGTAAAAACCTAAGCATTTGAGTTACTCAGTTTGTCTCAATGTTTCTCAGTGCTGAATATAAAAATCAAATGATTCCCATTTGAATCATAGTCTTCTGGACTGAGATCCAAGCTTAGTATTCTTTTATCAGCTTTATTGACATAGTTTACATACTGCACAATTTATTTAGAGTGAATAATTCAGTGGGTTTTTGTGTATTCACAGGCTTGTACAACTGTCACTACAATCAATTTTAGAACATTCTTACTACCCTAAAAAGAAACCCTGTACCTATTAACTGTCAGTCTCCTTTCCTCCCCAAGATCCTCAGCCCTGGACAACCCCTAATCTTCATTACGTCTCTATAGATTTGCCTATTTTGGACATTTCCTATGAATGGAACCATAGAATATGTGGTTTTTTGTGTCTGGTTTTTTTCACTTAGATGCAAGATTCATCTGTGTATCAGAACTTCATTCTCTTTAACTGGTAAAAAGTATTCCATTTTATGTATACTTACATTTTAATTTATCCATTCATTAGTTGACACACATTTGGATTGTTTCTATTGCTAGCTATTATGAGTAATGCTACCATGAATATTTGTGTACAGGTTTTTATGTGACGAGGCATAATGTTTTTTAAAAAGCTCCCCTAGTATTTCTGATGTGCAGTCAGGTTTGTGAACCATTAGTCTCAAAGATGACAAATGACTAAACAATATTTTTAATTGAGTTGACAATCATTTGGTCTGTTTGTCCTCTGCTTTATCTGTCACTTAGGGCAGAGCATGGCATACTATCGACCCTAATTAATATATGTTAAAATGGAAAAGTAAAACCAAACTTCTTCAGCTTAGAAACCCAATGAAAAGATGTTTCTTTTCATAATGAAGGCACCATTTCACTAGGGATTCAAGATCCATACAGAAGTGTGCTGTATCTTTAGAAAAAAATAAAAACTTTTTCAGACAATTTGTCCAAGTTTGTGCCTGTTGTCATCATGGTGATGGTGATGGGGCTGGTGAAACACTGCCCACTGCATGAATTCCAGAGTAAAAACTAGACTGAATCCAAAATGTTCTGTAAATTAATGTTGACCTTTATTGAGTTCTGAGATCAATATTAGTTACTGCTGTGCTTTGTAATTATAAAAGGGCTATTTGATGTTTCACACCAAGGATATGGGTGGAGAGAGAAAAGAACTTGTATTAACACCATCTGTGGTTTCTAACTTTGTAATTAAGGCCAATTCCTCTGTGGAACATTGTAGTTATTATATATCATGATTATTTGGTTTATTAATATCCAGGGAAGTACCACAGTTTGAGAGCCATTCATTCTGGTTTACTTGGGAAGTCCTATTCTATACCTGTTTTGCTGGCATAATTATTAAAAAGCTTCTTTAACTCAGAAGTTTCCTGTTTTGGATAATAACTTACACAGTTACCCCAATTATAGGTGCTATTCCATAAGCACAGTTACTGACTTGCTACATTTTGAATGTCATCTAAAAAAAAAAATCATTTTTTTTCTTACCCATTGGATGAACCGGTTTTTCCCCCAAAGACCTGCCAGTTGTTTTTGCCTGTTCTTGATAAGTGCTTTGTATTGTGGCATTTAGAGGCTACAGCTCTGCTAATTGGTGTGTTAGAGCTTTACTACTTAATCTGTTCTTGAGGCTAAATCCCCGAAGATAACATGTCATCTGCCTTGTCTCCATGAAATCATGGTGAGGAATGTGCACCTACATACTTTGGGAGACACACGACAAGACTGTCTTCCTGCAGAAATAGTTATTCCTCAGGAGGAGGAATTGCCTCTAGTTCTTTTGTCCTTTGCTCAGATCCTCTCTTCATTGCCTTTGACTATCTTTTTTTAATTTTTTTGACAAAAGGGTATTTTGTTTTCACATCAGAAGAGAAATACTCTTTGCCATCTTCACCTCTTTTTCAGCTTCAAGCCCCTTATTCTTAATCCTACTTCCAGAAAGCTCGCTTTTGGAGGTAGGAATGTCTTGCCCTCTATCAGAAGGACCAAAGGAGTTTCTTAAATGTAGATTTCTAGGCCCCACCTTAAAGCTACTGAATCTGAATCTCTGAAGTTGGGACACAGCAATACCAGTGTTAATTTCTGTCATCTCTGCATCATGTTCTCTCACCTTTTCCTTCCTCACAGAGCCAGTGATGTGGCTTCCAAAGAAATTTGTTAAAAATCATGTTTCTTGGTTCATGACTGCTCTTTAAGATTCTATCTGATTTACTGCATCTGATGTGGGGTCTAGGGAGCTTCATTATTATTTTTAAAATAGACTATTTCTTAGAGCAATTTTAGATTCAACACAAAATTGAGTGGAAAGCTCAGAGAGGTCCCACATACTGTCTGCCCAAATACACCACCTCCCTCACTATTGACATCCTGCACCACGGTGGCACGTTTGTTACGGCTGGTGAACCTACATTGTCACACTATCACCCAGAGTTCGTAATTTACATTGGAGCTCATTCTTGATGTTGTATATTCTATGTGTTTGGACAGATTTCTAATGACATGTAACCACCATTATAGTATCATACAGAATAGTTTTACTGCCCTAAAAACCCTCTGTTCTGCCTGTGCATCCCACTCACCCCAAACCACTGGCAACCTCTGATCCTTTCACTGTCTCCATGGTTTTGCCTTTTCCAGAATATCGTATGGGTAGAATCATGCAGTAGGTAGTCTTTTTGGACTGGCTTATTATTCACTTAATAACATGCACTCAAGATTACTCCATGTCTGTTCATAGCTTGATAGCTCATTTCTTAGCAATGAATAATATTCCATCGTCTGGGTGTACCACAGTTTATCCATTCACCTACCGAAGGACATCTTGGTTGCCTCCAAGTTTGACAGTTATGAATAAAGCTCTGTAAACATCTGTGTGTAGCTTTTTACGTGGACGTAT